TGGTTGTGGCAGGAGTGGAGGTGTATTTTCGTTATGAGGTCGTTCCTCTCCCATTTTTTCAACTTTCGAATATTTGATTATTTCCTCAATTAGCGCACAGTCCTTTCAATCTCTAGGACAAATGGCTCTAAATCTTTATCACCGAATTTCTTCGCATATACTACTAAGTATTTCTAATATAGAAAGAAAAGATTAGTAAACCATAATTTTGATGAAATAACCTGAAAAGCAATAAAAATATAAATATCTAATGTAATAATACTTATAGTTGGTAGTGCTATCATTGCAAAACAAGTTTCTTGACAACGGCGCCAAAAACTTGATAGGCGGGTTCACACCCCCCTCCCTAAATCTAACTTCAAGTGTACGGTGTCGACTCAAATAATACGTACAGTAAGTACGAGTATCGGATCAAAGGAACTAGGTACTAAGTAACATAATGACTATAACTACTAAATAGATAATCCAAAATTTGGTGATGAACTGAATATTATGGATCTATTTGGAAAATGGCAAAATTAACAATTTTCGAGAATTAAAGGTTGAAAACCTTTAACAGGAGAAAAGCAATTGGGAGTTGGAATTCTAATGATTTTCAGCACAAAACATTTCAATTTGAATAATTAATAGATTAATTAATAAATGAATACACAATCACTATCATACCGTTACTCTTTCGAGTTATAACGAGTTTATCTCTGAAAAGAAATGTTTCATCTATCGATCTCAACATACAAATTTCAAGACGTGTTCAACCAAGATTGCTAAAACAACACTAAGGCTTAATTGGTATATCTGTATTCAATTTTTCACCCTAGACATACAGTTGATAAATCTAATCTCAAATCACTTTTTTCAAAGACAAATGAAGATAAAGAGCAGCTGGTAGTTGATCAGACTAACAACAACATTAAAAATAAATCACATGCTTCGTTGAATTAAAAAAAATCTGATAAAGATCCAATTATTACGTATTCATATGCTTAATAGCTACAAATGATCCAACCCCCAGCATCTAATGGTTAGTACATGTTGGGGTTTGTAGAAAACAAAACATTCACGAAAGGATCCATAAATCAAGACATCATTTCTCAACTATAAATCCAAAGAATATAAAAACTCCCTGATGTGTTGATTCCCCATGCACAAGTATGAACAATTGGTAGTAATCTTCAATCCGTTGTGTTTCCTTCACTTCGATAGCTCCAAAAAGTTGCTAAGAACTCCCAAATTGTCCTCTTGGAACCATAGCAGATAGATGCAACTCCCTTTTTTTAGGCTGAAAACAACATAACCACGAAACAGTCGCAAATGCGACTTCCATGCGAGTTTAACCACATGAAAGTCGTCTGCGTCCTTTAGCAACTCGCATTAAACCGCATTGCACACTATTTGGCTTCTTTTGTTCATAAATTCACTTCAACACTTGGTCCTTCACTTGGTAAGCTCTTCAACTTGACCCTCGCTCCCATAATTAGTCTCCTTTAATGCCAATTTCTTCGATTTTTGTGAAATATCGATTCTTGTATAAACTTGCAATAAACTGTCAAAAAGACGTTTCATTTGCTTGGAAACCGAGCAAAACTACACGAAAAGTGGTACTAGGATAACGCCACAATTGGCGATATCAGATCTATAACTTAAATTTCAGAATAGAAAATGAGAGGATTCTTACTTATAAAAGTCTTGTAACTATCTCTATTGATTCAAGAGTAAAATGTTTTCAACAAAATCGAGACTAATTGAGAAAAGGTCAAGATCGTCATAAAGTGGATTGGTTTATCATCTAGTCAAAAATAAGATCAATACAGGATAAAGTCAACTTATAGCTTGACAAATACTATTACTGCAAGCCGGATAAGGTCAACTCGTAGTTTGGCTACCAACTCTCCAACACCCATCTTGATATAAGAACATGCACAACATGTCAGTCAAAGTAAGTTAAAAAATACTTTTTTATTAATGTCATACTTCGTTTACTGTTCCCTCGGCATATAGAAAGATGTGATAGGTTAACAAGAATCTAGATCGACCTCAAAGCCTAAAATGAAGAGTACTAGCATGCATGAATCAACATTCAAATGAAGACACACGTTAAAACTGGATATAAAAGGTCATCCTTCTCATTGTTACTCACTCATTTTGAAAGAACTTCTTTGTGATTGTTTCTTAGTCCTTCGGATCTGAAAGAGTACTTTCTTCCCCGCTTTTTCAATGTTAGCATATTTGTTACAGTCAGATTGTTTAGCATCACAAATTTTACCTTCTTATTTTTCGCAACAAATCTATAAATCTTTATTTTATACAAAATATAGAATTTAAAATTAAAAAGTAAAAATTTGTTTTGTTTGTATTCACCCCTTTTACAAACACCTGATGTTTAAGTCATCACTTCCCAGGACCAACACAAATCCCCCAACCGTGGAACTCGTTGATATCCAATCATTTCGGGGACCTAACATCAAAAAAATTTGGTCAAAGTAATTTCTCATTCCAGTTTCATCAAATTTCTTAAACTAAAAGAACCTTTTACGGGATTTTATAAAAAAAAATTCAAAATTGAAATATTGAGATTTCAATAAAATCCTACAAATACTGAATTTGGTTTTCACGAGATTTCATTCTCATTGAGGTAGTTGGTATTTGATGAAAGTTCATTTATTTATTTATAATAATACTCTAAAATATGTTTAAAAAAATTAACAATCAATTAAAAGATAATTATATAAATTAATAATTTATATATATATATATATATATATTATTTATAAATAATAAAATTCAATTTCATTCTAGATCAAAAATTGTAATAATTTCTATAAAAAAATCATGAAAGACATTTGGTTAAATCAAATACTTGTGATAAAATTGAGATATTATTATTCCCAATCCCTTTTTATAAATTATTTGGGATTTAAATTCAAGAATATAATTATGAAGAATTTTGAGATTATGGATGTAGGCTGCCCTAGTGTTAGTGCTTATGGGTAGACATAGTACTAGTTGTCCAACCAATGGGTGGACACCTTTGTATATCAAAGGATATCCTTACATTTTTACAATTTTTTAGATTATATAAAAATATAAATAACAAATTATTGTTTGATATATAATATATATATATATATATATATATAAAGAAATTTATAAGAGAAAATCATGCAATTTTTTTTGTTTTGTTTTTTTGGTGCCGTTTACCAAACGTTTATCTGGGTAAGAGCTTACCAAGTCACTTTACTTTATCGGATGGATACGATGAAGACTAAGAATCTTACCCGGTAAGAGTAAAGACAATAATCAAGAGTCTTACCCAGTAAGTGAGGATGAGGACTCTTACCATGGTTAGCGCTTACCGGGATAAATTGTTACACATGATGTATTTTAATGAATAAAATCTTACCCGATAAGTAAGCGATAGTATTGAATTTTACCGATAAATGCTTACCGGGTAAATGTTTAGGTAACGTCCTCTTAGTGTTAAAAATGTAAAAAAGTATTGGATCTAATTATTTTATTTAATGAGCATAACTTTTTATATTTTATATTTTAAATAGTTAATAATCAAAGTCATTTTTTGAATGGCATTTGTTACTAATTCTTGCCAATAAATACACCATGGCTAGTAGGTTGTTTATGGGTTGGCTTGATTGGGTTGAAGACATTTGAACTATCCAATACGATTTTGCGGTTTAAAAATTTTTAACCCAACCTAAACCAAACCAAAGTGCAACCCAACCTAATCCAAACCATACAGATTGATCGGATTGATACTTTGGTACATTAAAATATTTTTCTAACCTTAAATATGTTATTTCTCTACTAATAATTTCTTTTTAATCATTAACCATTTGATACAACTTATTCATATTTTTTATGTATATCACACTCAATTAATTTTCTCAATTTACATATATATGTTCACAGTTACTAAACATATATAAGAATGAGTTATATAGAAATGTGAATAGAGTGAAAATACGTGTATATGAAGAACGTACGTGATAGTGTAATTGTCTAATGTATATATTAATAGAAATTCAACAATCATATTAAATCCAAGAAATAAAAGGATATCGGGTTAATCGGGTTGGGTTGAGTTCAAATAATAGTAACTCAATATCAACTCAATACCTAAGGTTTGAAAATTTTACAACTCGATTAGACATCAGTTTGCTTCACGTTGAATTATTTCGAGTTGAGTTGGGTTGATCGGGTTAGTCGGGTTTTTGAGCACCCCTAAAAACTAGGTATTTAAATGATATTCATTTTCTTATTAAAATATTATATAGTATTATGAACGTATTGTGTATCAAGAACGAAACAAAAAGCATTTTGCAAGGAGAAAAACGTGGGTTTCTTTTTCTTGTGTCGAAAAATAATAATTCGTGATACTGTCCGTCACATACTCCTAACATTAGTTTTAATCAATTTCTGTAATGTAAAAAAGAGTTGTTTACAGATCCTCAATATCCATCGCTAACGGGTCATATATATAGGACCAAGTGAGGCATTTTTGTGATTATATATTATTAAAGAAAATATTTGCTTCTGTTGTCATCGAATCTATAAGAAGCTTCTCAATACCAATTTTTTATACAATTATTTATTTGTTACTGATTCATATTTGATATTACCTTCATTGTTTAAGCATAAAAATTTTAATCACATTACGGTAATTATGGATGTTTACCAAATGTTTATTCGGGTAAGTGAACATCAAGTTATATTACTTTATTAAATGAATATGATAAGGACCAAGAATTTTATCAAATAAGAATGAGATAAGGACCAAAAATCTTACCCGATAAATAAAGACGACAAATCTTACTACGATAAGCGGTAAAATTGGGAGATAATGGTTTGAAGACTAATTTGAATAGGTAGAATAATTATTTAAATCAATTTCCCTAAATTAAATCAAATATAAAAAGCAGAACTAAATAATTTCCATAATTAGCTATTAATAAAAGTTTCAAAAATCGAATCGCACACCAAGAAACTCACAAAATCAAGAAAAATGTTATTTTAGTTTCTAAATATAGAAATATATAGCTGTTCCAAATTACATAAAAGGACATAAATTATGAGGAATTTACAGATTACTTCACCCACAACAGCAAGATTGAAGCTTCACCAATGGCTGCTGCTACTGCCAATAATTCCTCCGTAGTTCGATGAATAATTGATGGGTAATTCTGGAAATTCACAAAGCTTTGCCGTAGATCTGAGAAATCTGACACCTTTATTCGTCAAAGATCTGTACTTTTGAAGTAATTTATAAACTGAAAAAGCAGATGAAAATGATGTTAATCAGTAACATGGAGGTGGCGCCGGAAAGTGACACGGAGGCAGAATAAGGTAGCGGAGGGCTGTAATAGTAATAAGGGTAGTAATTTGTAATCGGATTTGGTGGTCCTGGGTTGGGGTAGTTCTTGTACGGCGGCGGTGGGTAGTAGTAGTAAACGCCCTGAGAGGGTGGCGGTGGAGAATAGTAGTAGCCACCTCCGGTTCCAGAAGTGGGAGGTGGTGGAGAGTAGTAAGAGGCACCGCCACCGCCACCGCCACCGGATGATGTGGGAGGAGGAGGAGGTGGAGGGCAGATTGGCGATGCCGGTGGTGGTGGTGATGGTGATGGTTGATTGCATGGGTTGTCACAGGCAGCACACATTGTGCATTCGATTTGGTATTTTGACCCGACCCATTTGTTGGTTGGAGTTACAAGTGAGAGGTGGGAAACCAAGAGGAGGATGAAGAAGGAAGTGTTGACTTTTTGACTTTTGAGCTCCATGTGAAATGGAGTTGTTGAGAGAGAGAGAGAGGGAGAGGATAGAAGAATGTGGTGGGTTTGTGGAAATAAAGGGTGCTCTTATCCTTGAGGCTTTCATAATAAGGCCAATACCCTTTTCATGTATGCTTTATTCACTTGTACCTTGTGTAGTTATAGTTGTACCATCTTTTCTAAAGCAAACAAAACACTACACTTGGTGTGTGTCCTCTCTTGTGAAAATACAACTTTGTTACAACAATAACAATATCATCAATATTTTGTAATGATTTTGATAAACAAATTCATATTCAAATATTACTTTTCTTTATGACACATTCTTGAAATAAAAAGTGTTTTTTTTTAGTAAATTATAAATAAAATTGTTCAGTATGATTGAAAATCCTTTTGACGACACCATCTCTTATTACTTTTCTTCTTGGTTACGTGTTGATCCATCTCTTTTATCTATGTTAGATCATTGTTTGCGGCTGGTCTTGATACGTTAGTGAGTTCTGATGATCCTGCAACATCTTCGATTGATATTTGTCAGTCTCAAAAGGGTAAGACACATATTTTTCATATTTGTGACTACCATTGCTACTTTATTTAATTTTCTACCAATGTTATACTGCTATATAGATCTTAAGAATAATATAAAAGTTAAAAAAAGTGTCTTGTACTACAAAATGACAAGGTAGTGGCATGCCTTAAATATATGACATGATAGTTAATGGGATGTGGGAGCTCTGCCTTGTCGACACCATGATGTGCTTTTTAGAACATTATTTTCTACTCTTACTCCCTCCTCCTATATGAAACCTCTATTAGACGAATGGCATGCTCTTGCCAAAGCTAAACTTCAATGTGGCAAAAGTCATTGGTTCGACTACAAGGTCAAAACAAGCTTTGTTGATCTTTACAAGTAGTAAGATGGTAAGTACCAAACAGTTATAGGAGATCAAGGTGAAAAATTTAACTTTAGATGGCAAAATTGAACATTATTATTTGAGTTTTGATTTTAGAAACAAATAGCACGGGATGCAAGCTTTCCAAGTCTAACTGAAAACAACACAGTAGATTTTGTACTACAACATCATACAACCTCACTCGTTTCTTTAAACTAACAAAGAAACCTTTCCAAGTTTTAGGAGGCTCTCATCCATATGGTTGTTCTCAAATTTCCTATGTAAGCTAGGAGGGGTGTAAACGCGTTAGGTTCAACAACCAAATTATGGCGGTTTGGAAAAATCTCAACCCAATCCAACTCATTCAAAAATATAACCTAACTCAACCATTGTGGGTTTGCGTCGGGTTAAGTTGGCGAGTTAGTAGTATACTTAAATTTGATGAATGAAATAAGATAAATATTTTAATATACTCAATGAAGTTATTAAAATCATCAAAATATATAATAAAATCCTTAAGTTTTAGAATCAAACTTCAAAAGGTTGAGTGATAGTTAATACAACAAATCATCAATCAAATACGACTGTTTTAGACCTCTACGACTCAAATGTTGCTTTCACCTAGCAATTGGCAGCAGAGGTTTAAAGGACTAAGGGGTTATGGTCCATCAACGCATGGACATGATTGATCGAGTTCTAGACTTGTTGTCTGGATCTATTTTGAGTCTTGGTTGTAACGACTTATCAATGGACATTACATATATATAAAGAGAGACGAAGAATAATGTGAGAATATGAGTTAAGTTGAGAAGTGTAAGAAGGTATTTGGATTCCTGATCACTTTTGATCTCAAACCATTCCATGAATTGTTGTTTAGCATGGAATTGATCTAGTGCTTCTCAGTTGTGTTGATATAGTAGAACTCTTCAATTATGATTAATACAAAGATGGAGATCCCTTCTTATCCTTCTCACCATAACTCTCATTGGAACCCAACCGTGTATATATATATATATATATATATATATATATATATATATATATATATATATATATATATATATATATATATAT